TTTAACACATTTCTGAACGAACACATCATAATGATTGAAAGATTGAGTTAATATTCAAATTGTAAATTCTCTTATTTCTATATTGAAAATCTCACATTTTGCTTATAACTATTATATATAAAAGTATCACTATCACTAAAATATCAAACAATCTCTATATATATAATTGTATGCAAAATCTTTAATGCAATTCTTTTCATTTTCCACCTAATTTTGGTAAATAGTAAGTGATATTGTATTTTGATATAACTGTTACAATATTGCTACTTATATTTTCTTTTGGTTGTAACTTATTTCAAAATTTGAACTTTTAAATTATTTTTGAACACTTATTATATAAAATAATCAATATTGTACATGTATTTTATTATATAATTATATTATTAATATAATTTATTCAATAATTCCCTTAAAAATATTAATTTAATTATATGGTGTATACAATTTATATTGTCCATTTTAAATTCATATTTTTAATTACTTTTGTGGTACTGTTATGATGATTATCAATATAATGCTCAAAGTATATAATTTATGTTGTTCATCAAATTTACTTATTTGGTCAATGTAATAATTCAATTATAAATTTGATATACATTGTTAAATAATCTTTTATTTTAGTCGTTAGTTTTATATAATAAGTTTACGTTAATTTTTTGTATAACATATGCATGTGCACACGATGAATTACTCGTTATTATTCCAATTTCCAACTTATAATTCATACCCATACTATCAATGTAAATCAGTAAATGCTTAACTAAAATTACATTAACAAGTAAGGGGTGATTAGATATGAATTCAACTAGTAAAAAACTAGTTTTTTTTTTTTTGAATTATAGTTAAAGTTGAAAAAAAATAGTATGGTTAGTTGTTAGTGGATATATTAAAATAATAACTAAATTAAAATAATTAAAATTGATTTGATGTAAAAGTAAGAGAAAATGATTGGAAGTGATAGTTAGTTAAAAATATGTGAGTGAGTGAATAACAAATTAAAGTTGATGTGATGTGTAATAATGATTAATTGATTATTTAATTATGTTTATAGTATTGGAGATAGTGGAGTCGGTTAAAGTTGAGTTAAATTTAAATTTTGAGTGAAATATTTACCGTACAAATTATATACAAACACGCCTTAAAATATTCAAAATTCGTACCCAATAAACCTCCAATTAATGACCGGAATTAAAATATAAGTCGACCCATCACGTCTAGTATTGGTGGCAGCAATAAATAAAATAAAAGTCCCATTAGTTGATCTTTATCTTTATTAATAATAATGGCATTGACATTTGCACATTATTATTAGATAGTTAACTGAACTGAGTGGAGTTTTTGGTAGTACATTGTTGCAAAAAGTTGGTTTTAATGTTAGTACATGTTCTCCACCCGACGGTCACACTAATGCTATTATATTACATGTTGACTTCTTTGTTGATATGACATTATTGTGATAATTTGGTGTGATTTGAATGTGATAAAATAATTGTTTAAACAAACTAATTGCAATAAAGTTGGGCAAATAAAATAATTGTGATGCGGTTTCTTTATTAAATCAAAAGGTGAGTTCAAATTCAATTAGGAAAACAATATAATGTTTCGAAGTCCCAATCTTGACAATCGCTGTGGTAGGGTTAGTGGATTGGCTATTTTTTTTATTTTTTATTTTATTTTTGTTAAATTTAAAATCTTACAACATTAGTCAAGTGGTTAGTTGATGTGATTGTGATGAGTGAACAAAAGTAATTTTATATAGAAACCGAAATCTTTGTAATTTCGCAATGCTAGACAGACAGAGAATTACATGATGAGCCATAAGTAGATCTTGACTAATGTGATGTAATTTATAATTTTATTTTAAAGTTGTAATGTAGGGCTTTAATTTATGTTGCATATATCAAAGATTTTAAAATTACACCTAAATTACAGACACCTTTAATTTGGTCCCCCAACTCGAACAAAATTCGACTCAATCATTCAAGCATATCTCTAGCGGTAGTATTTTGTTGTCGAGTCGAGTCGAACCTCANNACATTGCTCAACAAGGTCGATGCTCGATTTCATTTGCAGCTTTACCCACAATGGCCAATAGGTACGGTGAAATTCACCCCAATATCAAAATAGTTTCAATCTTACTTTTACGGTTTTAATTACCACAGTAATTTGGGTGTCCCGCGCAAAATGCAACTGTCAGAGCTTCCCCTCGCGTCGCCTGTGTGTGGCACGCTTTTCCTCAATTTTTTTTGTTTTGTTTTGTTTCATATCCTTAATGGGGAAGGGCCCCACCACTTCTTTGTCTTCTTTTTACACGCATACGCACGGGCGCATATATATATATATATATATCAATTACTATAAAATATAATACTCTCCCCCAAAATAAAAATAGTTTCATATCACAATTCAAACATAAGTAACTTTATTCCCCATATAAATTGAATATACAAAGTATATAAAATTAATTTATCACATACATATTATTATTCATCTTCATCAAAATTTTTGGTCATGTCCCTTGCAGACATGTCGAATCTCCCTCATCCACCTGATTTCCTCTCTTCTCCCGCTCTCACTCTCTCTCTTGTAAGATCCAATATTTTTTTTTTCTCTTCTTTTAATTAGTTTTAATTTGCATGTAATTTTGTAGGATAAATTAATTAATGCTTATGTGGTGTTAATTTGTTGGTAATTAATTGCAGGCGGGTATTTTCCGGGAGGAGGGCGGCGGAGGGGGGCGGAGGGAGGAGGCGGTGGAGATGAGCAGCGAGAACTCGGGGGCGGCGGCGGGGAAGTCGAGGTCGGACGACGACTGCGAATTGTTGCCGGAAAATGGGGACGAGGTGTTGGAGGATGATGATGAGAACAACGACGGCGACCGGAAAAATAAGAGGAAGAAGTATCACCGGCATACCACCGAACAAATTAGAGAGATGGAAGCGTATGTATCTCTCTCTCTATACGTATTCTATACGTATGTGCGTTTTTTTATACACATACTGTGTGTGTGTGGTATTATTAATTTATTATTTGATAAGATGTTTTTTGCTTTACAGAACTATCATGTGTGTGGCGTGCATGCTGTATATATAGTGTTGATGTTTTAAAATTAAAAAGAGGGAATTGAATTAATTGGGGGTAAGAATTCAAATGAATTTATGTAATAAGGCTTAATTTCATTAGTATTTTTTTCTTCTTCCAGTAAATTAGTATATTTATAATAATAATGATATCTAATATTCTCTGACCTGACACTCATCAATTTAGCATGGCAATTAGTTCGCCAAAATCATCAAAAAGTGTTGTTCCACTAGTTAGTGTACAAAATTAGATGATTTTATTTTTTATTTTTTTACCTTGACAAANTTTAAGTTAATGTAGCCAGTATGCTATTTGTTAAATTATTGGAAAAATCATTCAATTCCCAACCAATTTTCCCAAGTTAATCTAGTTTGATTATAATATAAGCGCGCAATTCGTAAAGTTGCAGAGAAAGTGGTTGATGTAAGACGCGACTACTGTAGGGGTAATAGGGTTGCAGCAGCTTATAATTATTACAGTGTAAAGTAGATTCCAAGCCAGCTGCTATTAATGCATATCTTTTGGCATCTTCTTAATTGATGTGCATAAGCCATAAAGTTAACTTATCTCTGCACACTCACTGCATACTATGGTACATCTCAGCTTTTCAAAGTATTTAAATGTTGACCCAAATATATTCTCTTATTAAAAATTATAAATCATAAATTTATTTATATTTTATTTTAAAAATGTGACTTGAGTATGAAAACCAGTCACAGTCTAACCTAGAAAAACACAAATTCCTATTCTTTTTTCTGTGTTTAAGTAATTGATGGCATTAATATTACTCTATTTGTACTGATTATATTAAGTTTGGATGTTACAACTAATGGCAATATAACCCAATCATCTACTTTATTAATTAGCTAATTTGATATAAAAAATTTCAGCTTTTTAATTTTCGTCATATTTAACATAACAATTACATAGTGTTGCGATTAATGTGCAGACTGTTTAAAGAGTCTCCTCACCCGGATGAGAAGCAAAGGCTACAGCTGAGCAAGCAATTGGGGCTTCACCCGAGGCAGGTTAAATTCTGGTTTCAAAATCGTCGGACCCAAATCAAGGTAAACTAACGGCCCAACTGGATATTAGTTAAAAAAAAATAAAAAAATCGTTTTATAATATGTAAAAAAAATTGAAAACATGAGATATTTGAGATTGCAAATGGATAATGGAAACAAATACAATGATTATAGTCAATATGATATAAAAATCTCATGAAAAAGTGAGATGAAAAGTAGATTTCTTTTAAAAGAAAAATGTGAGGTAAATTTGGGATTGTAATTAAATAATCCATAATTAAAATTAAGGTGATGTAAAAGTATTAACTATTAAAGAATTAATTGATATGATTGATATTTTATATACATGAGTGGATGAATATTTGCGACATTATAAAAAAAAAAGTGATGAGAATTTAGTAATAATATTTTGTGGAATTTTTTTTTGTTTTATTTTGAGTTACAATGAATATTCGCTGAACAAATAAAAATGATTTCTTTTAATCCAATAGCAACTTAAATAATTATAGCTATTATGATCAACATCAATTAACACACTAAATTTGGTGTTAGGAAACATAGAAAAGTACTACGTATTTTAGAATTTCTACCCAACAAAATGATAATCTAGATTTATATTTTGTTATTCTTAAAATTTGGTGTTCCATGGAATATTATCTTAATCTTGAAATTTAATTTTGTTTTCTTAGAATGATAATATCATGGGCTTAACAAATATGCAGGCAATACAAGAACGCCATGAAAACTCTCTACTGAAGAGTGAAATCGATAAACTCCGAGACCAAAATAAGGCGTTGAGGGACGCCGTGAAAAACTCATCTTGTCCCAACTGTGGATTCGGCTCTTCTACCAACGACGCCGTTTCAAGCACCCATGACCAAAAACTCAGAATTGAAAATGCTAGACTCAAAGCTGAGGTTAGCATTATATGACTTCTTAATAATAATAATAATAATAATAATAATAATAATAATAATAATAATAATAATAATAATAACGGCTTGGAAGAATATTTTCAGGACTAATGACGTACTACAATTGAAAGCTTAATTGGAATGTTTGGTCTCATACTATAAGACTCTGAGTCTTTTAGGAAGTAGGGTGTAATACTGTAACTATACCCTACAAGTTCGAGATTGGGCATTTCGAGCTTGTGTTCGATTATGTTCAAACATTGTTCGCGTTTACTCGCTTATTTTTTTTTATTAAAATACAAGTTCGTGATTGAACTCATTTGTTTATTTATTTGTCAAAGTTTAGTTTGAATAATTTTGTAAAAGGAATAACTTTTGATCTGTTTGATAAACTAACGAGTTCAGTTTGTTCGATA